CTTCTTTTCTCCTCACTCCCACATTAAAAGGCCCCCAAAGCACTGAGGACTGGTTCTCTTTTTAAAGCCAGGAAAAGGCAGTAGGCAAGTAATAAAGATTAAGCGTTTACATTGGCCATTTGGAAGATTAAAATCTTTTCAGCTAGGGTCTTTCTTTCAAAACTCCGACTGAATTAAGGTCTGCGGCTACTTCCCACCTGGCTCTCAAAGGCCGGGTACTTTCATTCTGCCATGGATTGGGCTGGGCCAGGTGACCTGGCCCCATCAAAAGACCCAGGGAAGGCCATGGCTACACATGTCTAATGACAAGTAATTGACGGATTTGAGGCCGCGCATTACCAGCGGATCGGGGAGGCATTAATTATTTAAAAACGATTAGCTTGGCCGTGTGTCCTGCAGAAGTTCCATCTTGTTCAGCGAAGATAACCAGCCACACGTACGGGGCTGGATTTGGAGGGCGGCGGGCGAGCAACTCATCCGGCCTCCGGGGCGGTGGACAAAGGCGCGTGGCCCGGGGCGCCAGGGAAGGAGGGGAGGGCGCCCAAGTTTCCCACACGAGACAGTGCCCATATAAGTGACCCCGTCAATTACTGGGACCGACTTCTGCCCAGTTGGATTAGATACCTGGGGTCTCTGGCACAGAACAGAAGAGCTTTCCAGTTGGAGTGGTGGGCAATTTCCTGCGGCGGGTCGGGTTCCTTGCGCGTCTCACTGACTCGCTATGTATCCAGAGTAACCGCCGGCCTGGGCGTCTTACAAGGCCGGATACCTGGCATTTAAAGCAAAAACCACAGGGGAGGGATGCAGATTTCAAGAGGGATATCTGGTGAGACCCCACAGGAAAGACACCTTTTCTGTAACCTGGAAAACAGACCTGCGGTTTTAACTCTCAGTAGCGGAGCCACTAGTTTTCTGAGCCCGCGCCTTCCTATAAAGATGCGTTAGATTCGGTTCCATCTTTCAAATTCGCATCCTCAGGCACCGCAGCACGCCCCTGCTGAGCCACGTGCGGGGACAATGGGGTGATAATGGCCCCGCCGCTGGTTTCTGCCTTTTCCTCCTGGACCCGGCTCATAACCTCCGAGGCTCACAAACGCGCCTGCAGCTGTGAGCGCCTGTGCATAAAGGCCACCAGCCTCTTCTAGCCGTCAGAACAAAAAGTTCACTCGCTTCTTGGAGAGGCGTTGTCCCTCCCCTTCTTCCGCTTCACTTCGGCCCTGGCCACCGCCTAAGCCCGAGGGCTTCCGGGGAAACGCTGAGGCTGTACTCGAACCCGTGTGCGCTTGGGGAGGGCGTCACCATTCTCCAGCCTAGGTCTCTGCAGCTACCCCATTACCAACACGCCCTTTTCCACTGACCCTTGACTCTGAGGCCTAGGGTGTTACCCCACCCCCACCTTCCCACTGTCCTTGGGAAACACGCGGCCCTAGCTAGGATCGAATGTCTACCCGGAGGGGCGACAGGGACCAGCCTTGACTTCTCATAGTTTGGGGCCCCACCAGACTGTGCTCAGAGCCCAGGTTTAGTCCGAGTTTGTAATTCTCCCATTCCTCATCTTCACACACAGTGCATTCTTAGAAATCTCCCGAAAACAGAAAAAGGCTACCTCACAAATGGATTTAGCTTCTCACTACCCCCCTAGCCAATCCCCACCCCGCCTCCCAGGGGTCTGAGCTCTTCCAAGGGATGTGTACCACTTGGGGGAGGGGAGGCACGACGCCACTACGAGTGGGGGTGGGGTCGAACACTGCGGAAGGCCCCCAGGCGCAGCCCCCGACTGGGCGCGCTGCCTACCTGCGGAGTTCCGGCGGGTGGGTGGCGGAGCGTCCAGCGCGCGGAGGTTAGCGGCCGACTGCTTCCAGCCCAGACATCTCCGCATTTATTTGAGCTCAAACCCAGCGACTGTTGACTTTAGTACACAAAGCAAAGATTTCACTGCCCGCTAGTTTAAAAATGAATATTTTACCAAGATATCGATCAGCGTTATAAAATTCAGTTAAGTACAATGGGAACCTGGAAAAAAAAGAATAATAAAGGAGGGGGAAGGCAATATAATATCTGTGCAAATTTACTGAAGTCTGACGTGGCATGGAAAGTTTATCCTCCTGGAATTCGGATCTAGAATGGTTTTTTTTCGGTTGTTTACTGACTTTGTTTATTCACAGATCACGATTGCTTAAACCTGAGCGCCTTTGGTACGGGGGGTGAGGGAAGGAAGAAAAAAAAAGAGAAAGAGGAAAAGAGAAACGCTGCACTGCACCCTACACTTAAAGTTGGGGGAAGGCAGGAGTGATCTGTGAGCTGGTAAGCTTGGAACCTGGACTGGGAGAAGGAGCTGGTGGCGGGAAGGTGGGGTATGAACGACACAGAAGAGCAGAAACCTCTGAAAGCGCTCACTCCCCGACATCCTTTTTAGTATCGGAGCAGAACTCTATCTTATCGGCCTGGATCAGTGGGGGCGGGGGCACTCTAAGTAGTTTAAAACGACCCTCGCACAATGGGCGTGCGATACGAAACATAGCAGGTTAGGGCAGCGCTTTCAGCCTCCATTGTCCCCTACTCGGCCTCCGGCCCTGCCTCTCCGCTCCTTCGCCACAGGAGCCTTTTATGTGATAATGAAACACATTTCAGGCCGGGCTCACGACGTGTGTGTCCTGGCCAGGGGGAGAGACAACTCCGATAACTGGATTCTGCCTCCGGATACCCACCCCCGCCCCATTTTCTCTTCCCTGTGCTACTTGGGACAATGTGGCGTGTTAAAAACAAGGATTTAGAGGCGGGAGAGGGTGGAGGAGGCGAGGGCAAACTCTCCTCAAGCGCGTGGGAAGGCCAGGGTTTGAGGGAACAGACAGAGCCCCCCCCCCCCCCCCAAGGTGGCAGAGGTTGCACGGAAAGACTATCTCCAGGATTGGAACTGAGCTTGGACACTCCAGGTTCGGATGGCCTGGAAACCCAAAGATTTAGTCCCGGAAACGGGAGCCTGGGCTTTAGAAACCCGAGGCAAAATGTCCTGACCTGTGCTTTTTACCCACCTTTAGCTAGCTGTGCTCAGGATGGCCCCAAGTCTGAGGGGCCCCGCAAAAACACTGGCTCCTGACGTCCCCTGGCCAACTTGCAGACTAGCAGACGACACTAGCAAAGCCAAAGCCCGGCCCCCTTTTTGCATTCTGGCCAGGCTTTGCTTCTGAGATATCCACTGCGATTGGCCACCCATTTAGCGGGTCTGTGAGGAGAGACAGCACGAATGTTAAGATTGTATTCTGAGCATGTCTTTATACCTGTGGATTTTCCTTTTAGGCTCACAAAATATCACTCATCCCCTCGCCCCGCAATCTTGGTTTGCCAAACCAGGCTAACTGGACGCTGTGCAATGGCGTTAGGAGGAAGATCTTTCAGACTCTGGAATTTCTCCACTGGCCACCGTCACTTGGCAAGCCCTGCAAGACACCTCCTTATCTCCTCCTCACCCCAAATATACCTTATTTTAAATTTGTTTAACCCTCACCCAAGGATAATGTTTTTAGTGATCTTAGAGAGGGAGAGAGAAAAAAAAACAAAACATCTAGGTGTGAGATCAGTTGCCTCCTATAAGCACCATGACTGGTGATAGAACCTGCAAACTAGGTATGTGCCATGGCCAGGAATGAAATCTGCAATCTTTTTTTATGTACTGTTCAATGCTCCAACCAAGTAAACCATCCTGCCAGGGCCAAATATAACTTATTTTTAAAAGGAAATTTGGAACATCACCCTGATAGCCAATTTCAGGCAAAAGTCACCTGTTTCTCCAGATCCCTCACTACTCCCAGGCTTCCGCTAGGTCTACCAAAGTTGTGAAGAACACCTAAGTGAAGGAGGAGGCTGGGATAGGGTTGTGGAGTGTAGACAGAATTCTAATTCCACAGGGGGTAAAGGGATGCCACAGAGGGGCAGCAATAAAAAGGTAAAGTGCCACACCAGGAATTTGCAAATTCAATCTGGGTTCACTCACTTGAAAAGAGGTGGGGGGTGGGTCTGCTAATATGGGGAATACAGCAAAACGTGTAAAATCCTGGCTCCTTCCCAGAGAAGTGTTTAGGGAGAAGTGCACTGACATGCACTTAAAATATAAGACAAATTGACTAATGGAGTGTAGATAGGTGGACGGATATGCAATATAACAAGAGCAGTAAAATAACTGTAAAATCTGGGCAATGGGTACATGTGTGTTTTCTATAAAATCCATTCAAATTCAGTATGTCTGAATTTTTAAATAAAATGTTGGTAAAAAACAACACCCCTCTCACCCCTTGCAAATAAAATACAACCTGCAAGCAGCCAGGATCTCTCTCCCTCCACTTTTTTTTTTTTTTTTATCCTCACCAGAGGACATTTTTCCATTTTTTTTTTTTGTTCAGGTAGAGAGAGGAACAGAGAGAGAGAGAGAGAAACACCGATGTGAAAGGAACACATCCAGTGGCTGCCACCCGCACAACCGACCAGGGCCGGGGACAAACTGCAACCGAGGTACGCGCCCTTAGCGGGAACCGAACCCGGGTCTCTCAGGACCGCAGGCCGACGCTCTAACCGCTGAGCCAAACCGGCCAGGGCTCTCTCCCTCCACTTTCAAAGAATTTCCAGACCTATTTATTTTTTAAATCAGACAAAGAAAACAAATCTTGATAATTCAAGGAATAAAACCAGCAATAACACTTTAATACAGATTTGTGAAACTCTGGTCCTTGCAGTCAGAACACACAATTATAAGCCATAAATAAAGCACTCAGAAAGCATAAATTAATCAGACCCAGACCCAGACCTGGATTTCACTATGTCAAGAATTTTTTTTCCTGGTCATTTACCACAGACCCTTACATCATCCCCCCCCCCCACCCCTTTTTTAAACAACAGCACAACTCTCTGGTTCTTTGTTAAAACTACATTGTTTTACACTGAGTCACAATAGGTTGTGGGGATTTTTTGTTTTCTTTTTTGTTTTGTTTTGTTTTTTTTGTTTGTTTGTTTGTTTTTATTTTTAATAAAGTAAGACTTCCCTGCAACAACAGCAAAGTAGGAGAACAACAAAAAAAATCAGATTTTGAAGATGTTTCAAGAAGCAGGCATCTACACATTAGTGGAAACCGTGGGGACTCTTTCTTTTTTGACAATTTATCATTTCCCCCTTTCCCTCCTTATACATATTGGTGTGGCCCATCTGGGAGGAAAGAGCTACAGAGCATGAGTGGAGGCTGCGATTCTGGGTGGGAGTGTCTTGGATTTATTCTCCCTTGCATGTCTCCAACACCCCTACATAAAAGTCTCCACCCCACTTGCTCTCTCTCTTGTCAGTCCTTGTGGGGGCTAGCCAGGTCGAAGCAGAAGCCCTCTTAAGAGGAGTTCATAATGGGCCGGGAGTACACCCCCTGGTAGTAGGAGGTGTCCGCGGTCAAGGGTGAGGCTTCCAGGCTCGCTTTGTTCGTGATTGGGCCCATAGCCAGGCTTCCTGGCACCGGGGAACCATACCCCGGGTAGTGCATCACCTGTTCGTAGGCCTTGAGGTCCATTTTGTGGGGCTGGTGGTGGTGGTGGTGGCTGTGGTGGTGCTGCTGCTCCGATGACATGAGGTTGTTGATAGAGAAGGGGTGGTTGAAGGCGTAGTGGTGCTCCGGTTTAAGGTGGGCCTCGGGCGGCAGGCCCGGATGGTGAGGAGGGGCCAGGAGGTGGGCTGCGGCCTGCTGCTGCTGCCCGGGCTCAGGCTCCGGCTCCTGGGGGCTCAGCGCCGAGGCCGGCGTCCCCTTCAGCTCTCCCAGGCTCCCTCGCTTGTGCTCTTGACATGGAGAGGAGCTCGAGTGGGGTGACCCGGTGCCCACTGGAGTCTCGGAGGCCGGTCCAGAGGCCTCCCCGAGCTGACCCTGAGAGGCCTGAGTCCCGGCGGTCGCCTTCTTTCCACCACCTGTAGTGCCCGTGGATTCCTTCAGGGCCAGTTGCTTTTCGCACTTGAAGCGCTTCTGGCGGCGCAAGTAGCAGCCGTTCTCGAACATGTTGCCTGAATCAGGGTGCAGGGTCCAGAAGGAGCCCTTGCCGGGCTTGTCTGGAGAGCGGGGAACCTTGAGGAAGCAGTCATTGAAGGAGAGAGAGTGGCGGATAGAATTCTGCCAACGCTGCTGGTTCTGCCGGTAAAAGGGGAAGAGGTCCATGATCCACTGGTAGATCTCGCTCAGCGTCAGCATCTTGTTGGGGCTCTGCTGGATGGCCATCGTGATGAGAGAGATGTACGAATAGGGAGGCTTAGCATGTGTGTAGCTGCGTCGGTACGTCTTGGGGTCGCGCGCACGGCTCAGGCCCGCCTGCCCATACATGGGGCTCATGGAGTTCATGTTGGCATAGGGGGCCAGGCTTCCCATGGCCCCCGCTGCCTGCCCCCCGAGAGGGCTCAGGCTCGGGCTCAGGTGTGACCCCATGCCCGCAACTCCGGTCGCCCCGGCTGAGCCGCCCATGCTTGTCATGGCACCCGTCCCGGGAGACATGCCGGCAAGGGACGGGCTCATGCCCGCTCCCACGTACGATGACATGTTCATAGAGCCTGCACTCATGTTACCGGAGCCGCTGCCCATGGCAGCCGCCGACATGCTCATGTAGGTGTTCATGCCGTTCATTCCCAGACCGGCGTTCATGTTGCTCACTGAGGAGTAGCCCTGCAGACAAAACCCAGGGACAGAGGCACATAGCGTTAGCACCGTTGGCTTCAGCGAGCCCTCACCTCCCAGCCACTGGGTCAGCTCAGACCCTCCAGGAAGTCTGTCCCCACCCCCACTTCCTTACCCCTAGCCAAGCACACGGAGTCCGTTTCACTCAAAGATCGCCTTGATCGCCCTGGATGAGGCGGCCCTCGGATTGCTGCTCTGTGCATATGGCTGGTTCCTAGCCCTTCTCCACCTGGCTCAGATTCTAAAACAGGGGGACCCTGGAGCACCCCAAAGCCAGGCGCATCGAATGCCTCTGACCTCGCCAGAGTCTCCACAACTCTCAGGCCAGCATAGTGATGGGTACCGCGGCCCCAGAGGCCACGTCGACCTTATAGAGCAATCTGTGGGACCCCGCGCAAGGCGAACCGGGTGGCCTCAAGAAGAGACTGTCCAGGGCCTTCTCTGTTCAGTTTTCCTCCCAGGACCCCTTTCTTCGCCCTAGGGGAACGGAAACTCAGTGGCTGCACAGAGTCTGGGACCAGCCAGAAGCATTGAATGGAGGGATAGGAAGGGGACCGCAAACTGAACTACAGGCGGCTGGGTTTTGCAGCCACAAACTTTTTCTTTGTCCTGTAGTCTTTGACTCTTTGCCTCTACCTCAGCCCCCAACTCCATCCCACCTTCTCCTCTCCATCTCCCCACCCCCTCGTCGCCGAACTCCTACCCCTCCCCAGCCGCGCGCTGCCAAACATAACTCTGTTAGGATAGTGCGTGGCTCAGCCACGAAGAGGATTTGGAGGCGCCGCAAGTCAATATTTGATCACAAAGTTAATATTATCTCAAGGCTAACAGTGTGTCGTATAAAAAAGAGACCCATTTGAGTAGAAGGAGGGTGGAAAAGGCGGCTGCCCAGAGAGGCTGGGGATAGGGGGCGGATACCGGCACGGAAAGCAGTCCAGAAGTTGGGGAAAGAGCGGGCATCGCCACCCCATGTCCCCCCGGAAAAGGCAGTGCCTACCTCCGGCTCGGCATAGTAGCTGCTCCAGTCGGACGGCTCGTGCCCTTCCATCTTCACCGCTCCCAGCATACTGGAAGCCGAGTGCATGGCAGTTTAAAATTTAACAGCCACAACAAACGACCAGCAATCACCCTCCCTCTACACACACACACACACACACACACACACACACACACACACACCCTCTTAAAAAAAAAGTCAGCTAAGGCACTGCCCCCTCCCTCCCTCTCGTTCCCTCTCTCTGTGCTCCACACCCTCTTTCTCCCGGGGCTGGCCGGAGGCAGTAGTTGAAAGTGGGCGGGAGGCGTGAGTGGCCGGAGGAGGGGGATGAGGATCAGAGGTGGCCCAGACAGGAGCCCCGATGCCGGCAGCGCCCGACGCCTGTTACCGTCGTGCTCGCGGGCTGCCTGGTAGAGGCCAAGGTTGGCAGTGCGGAGCTGCGGGAAGGCAGCGGGAAGCCCGCGGCACGGGGGCGGGTGTGGGGTGGAGAGAAAAGGAGGAGGAGGAGGAGGAGGAGGTGTGGACCTCGGAGCCGACAAGTGCCGCAGTGACGTGGGTGGCTGGTGATATAGCACCGCGCGCCGGCGCGGGCCTCCAATCCCCAGACCCCGGGCAGCCCATTTGAATAATCAGCTCACACCTAGGTGAGAGGGAGCTGTGGCCTGCGCCCCGCACCTGCCCCTTGGTGGCCGAAGCCTGCCGCGCCCGAATGCGGTGCTGGGACCCGCGATCCAGGCGAGTGGGCGCGAGGGCTCCCCGGGACGGCCGCTTTTCTTCCGTGTTTACCCGGCCGTGGGAGGAGAGCCCTGGGTGGAAGCCATCCCAGGAGTTGCCCAGGGCTGTGATCCCCCACCCTGCCCCATAGCGCCTAGAGCCTAATGCTCCTGTCCGAGGGCGCGTTTGGTCTTGGAGCCGCATTTATTTATCCCGCTCTCAGTTTCTTCGCTCTCAGTGCTCATTCCCTGTCAAAACAACAAGACGGCGACAAAGCCAGTTTGCAAAGCGCTGTCGTATTTAGAAAAACTGTGTACACACCTTTAACTCGCTCGCCGCTGCTCCTGGGAGGCTCCTCCCTGTAGCAGTTAAGACTCAGAGTGGCCCGCGAAGGCGCGAGGCGCGCCTAGTCCGGCTGCCTTGGCTTTTTGCCTCTCCGAGAGCCCGGCCTCCGGCGACCGTCAGGGGAGCGGCCGGCGGGGAAGTACGCTGTCCCGGCGCCCGGCGCAGGACGCAGGCAGCCCCGCCAGCTGCAGCCGACGGTTGGAAGACTGTAATTTGTCTATGACATTCAGGACGCTGTGTTTCAAGGTTACTTTTCAGTCACAACGGAGGTGCCCACAGAATTTCGTAACTAAAACAAACAGGGCAGGATGTGGGGTGGGGGTGAGGAAGGAGGAGAGAAAGGAATAAAGGAATCAATACGCGGCACACTGAATCACTTCAGGAAGGTTTCTGTCCTCTCTGCTTTGCTGGGGGGGGGGGGGGCAGGGGAGGGAGGATGTCTGTTTTTATAAGACTTGAAATCCCCAGCAACCATATACTTCCTTTTAATTTTTGTTCCAGCTTCTGGGTTCAAATTATCATCTGCCCTGGACCAGCCCCCAAATCCCAGTGAGCCCAGGTTTGGGGAGGAGGGTGGAGGTGGAGGAGGGAGGGTAGTATTACAGGTATTCGGAAGTGGACACCCTTTTTCAGGTTCTAAAAACCCATCTTGGGCCTGAGGATCCGGCCCTGCGACCTCCACTTCAAAGGTAGAGGAAAATCTAGGAAATCGTGGGCATCTGGTCCACCTCTCCAAAGTTGTGGGTAATGGTGCAGAAGACAAACGAGGTGACAGGCAGGGGGATGAGCATCGGAAAGGGAAGGACTGAGGTTCAGGCTAGAAGGCAATTAGATGCAGGGCATTCCCATCCCTTCCCTCAACCCTAGTTCTCTCAAAGGGGCCCAGCATCGCTTTGAACCAAAGATGGAGCCTGTTCTAACCTCCTTTGAGCTGAAACGCCAGGGTGGTTTGACTAATTCATACTGAGGGCATTAATGAGCACGCTGAGAGCGTTCCAGGGCAGGGACCCCCAAAACCAAAGACTATGTCGCTCTGAAGTCATGCATATAGTTGAGGCCTCCCTACAAGTGTCTCGTGGGAGTGTATGCAAACGTAGTGTAGCTGTGCAAAGGGAAGGCTAAGGGATCAGATCACCAGCATCTATACGGAGTTCCGGGGACTTGGGAAAGAGGAGTGCACACTGGCAGGGTTGCCTGTTTTTTAAAACTTTGTGCACAGGCCTAGAGCAGAAAGGCGCCCGCACCCGCACCGCCCTCCCCCAACCTTAAATCCCCCCTTTCCTCCCTACTTGTGCTTTTCACATTCAATAGGAAAAAAAAAAAAAGACGCCAAATAGACAAACCCCGCGAAACAACGACGTACAGCTTTCTTGTGTGTATGGAACTGAAAATTCAAGAGGATATTCTGGTCGGTGAATGTGTATGAGTGTTCACGCCTTTTTCTCTTTTACCTCCTGGTCTAAATATGATTCTAGAAATTACTCCTTGAGTAAAAGGAACGGGCGGGTCTGGAAGAAGAGGTCCGCGGGAAGAAGGGGCTCTAACTTCATAAATGGCATATCTTGCAAGTTCTCCCACCCTCGGTTGCTGGCATCCGCGGGCACCAGGAAGCACTCCGCACCACAGTCCACAGTGACAGGGCGCCCCCTGTCGGCCACGTGGCCCCTGACGGACCCGAGTCCTCATTTACCCCTCCTCATTCCGCAACCCAGGTGCTGGCCCTGTACACAGCCTTTCCTTGTCTCCCCTAACAAGCTTCCAGGGGATTGGCCTTTCTTTGGAGTCCCCAAAATTCTGCACAAACTGAAACCGATTTCTTCCCACCTCTGAAAGCTCCGCAGGCTCAGTTGTATTAGGCCGCCTGTGACACCGCCTTGAGTCGGAGACCTTCTCCGAGCTTGGCCTGGGGGGGGGGGGGGGGGGGGGGGCGGTGGTAGAGAGAGGTGAGCCGCACGGAACCCAGAACCACTGGCTATGCAGGAATCTCGGCCTTTAATCCAGTTTAGGGTTCGCTTTCCTTCCCCAGCATTCAGGATTTGGAGGAGCTACCTCTGGCAGCTTCGGTTTCTAAAGGTTTATTTAGAGCGTCTGGCATGACAGCCTGTGGCTGGAATGCTGCAAATTGCTCGGGGAGTTTCTCTCCAGGAAAACGTTCGCCGGTACCTCAGGCTGAAAACAGATTGTTTCCCCTGATTCCCAAACCCACCTAGGACTGAGACCCACAAAGCTTTCCTTGACCCGTGTCCCTCTGCTCTTCCTTTAGTTCGTCGCTGCCTCAGTTTTGTATAAAGTTACCTTATAAACCATGACTATGCTTGGGGTTAGTACGCTATTTTTATTCTGGATGCTGTACCAGTGGATTTGATTTGCGCTCATATGTCAGCCTCCTCTTCTTTTTCTGGGAAGAAGATGCTATGATCCCGCATTCCCTAGCAAGACTCCTTCCTGTCATATGAAACTAGTCTGGGGAAGGGGACACCCATAAACTGAACCCAACTTCCCTAAGCGATAACCGGTTAAATATCAGATATGGGGAAATCGGCATTCCGTTGATCAATACTCAAGTTCCTGAAGCCTATCACATAATTCATATCCGAGACAGGCCTTGTTTTGGGGCATGATCAGGCAGGTCTACCGGTGAGGTTAACACAGACAGAAAGGTGATTTGGCAAAGTCTTGTGAAAATACACATTGCAATTTCATTTTAAAAATGTTTTTTCCCTTTACTGATTTTACATAGAGAGGAAGTGAGAGGGAGAGAGAGAGATAGAAATATTGATGAGATTGGCCTCCTCCTCATGTCCCCCGCCGGGGATCAAGCCCACAACCTGGGCCACAACCTGGGCATGTGTCCTGACCGGGAATGGAACCAGCACATTCTTGGTGCATGGGCCCACGCTCAACCATTGAGCCACACCGGCGGGACTTCACTTTCTTTTTTTTTTCCATCCTCACTCGAGGACATTTTTACATTTTTTGTTCAGATAGAGTGGGGGGGGGGAGGAGAGAGAGAGACATGGACATGAAAGGGACACATGGAGTAGTTGCCATCCCCAGGACCCAACTAGGGCTGGGGACAAACAGCAACCGAGGTACGTGCCCTTAGCGGGAACCGTACTCGGGTCTCTCTGGACCGCAGGCTGGCGACGCTCTAACCGCTGAACCAAAACAGGGCAGGGCAGGACTTCACTTTCAAATAAGCTTTTGGGTTGGCAAATTCCAGAGGCCCAAACTTCCCTAGTCACAGGGTGGAAATCTCAGGGTGAATCCCAGGTCTTAATAAAGAATAAAAAGGAATATATGTTTTCTTAATAAAGAAAAGGAATATAAATATATTCTCCTCAAAATATATGTACATTTTGAATACTCATAAAGCCAGTGTTTATTAAAATACATTTTATTTTCAAAATGTAATCAAAGCTATAGACACCTTGTATACATTTTTTGGGAGGACACCCAGTATAGAGTTGTGTCAAAGGTTATAATTAACATTTCATTTTCTGTGGATGGGTTGTTATTTCTGAAATTCTGTTTAAGAAAAAATTATATGATTAAAAGTAGTCTACTTGAGTATACCTTCAAATACTTTTTTATTGGCTTTCATACTTCTTGGCTGACCAAAACACTAGTCGTTTATGAAGAAGACAACTGAAAAGGTAAGCTAAGAGTTATCTCATCAAAGGGGATTTATGGGAAAAACTGCTGAAAAGATTCCGCATGTCTCAATCTTCTGCAAAAACACTGGACAATGCTGATAAAAGTGGGGCAAAAGCAAGATACAACATTGTAAGTTTAAAAATATACGTATCTTTTTGATATTAGAGAGAGGCAGGGAGAGGGCCCCCACCCCCCTTACTAGGTATGGGGCTCACAACCCTGACCTCCTGGTATGTGGAACAGTGCTCAACCAACTGAGCCACACAGGCCAGGGCCAACATTGTAAGTTTAATATACAATGCACCTGCAAGCATTCTAGCTCTCCTGGGCAAGAGTCACAGGAAAAGATGGGAAATAAGGAGTAATAAATAATGATAGAAGTCAAATCAATACAATGTTAATTGTCCTGATTGTGTTTGG